ACACGATGCAACATGTTCATCGAGCACCGGTAATTCCGGCGCGATTTTGAGGAAAGGCGCGTCAATAGGAATTTTAAGGATCGCGATGAAAATTGGTATGGACGAGCATGCGAGAGCGAGGGGGCTAAGCAAGCAGATCGGCCATAAAGAAAAGAGAGAAACCGCATCAGAGAGGAATACAAGTGGAAGAGAGAGAGAGAGAAGGGGCTGGGAAGAAGGGGGAAAAGAAAACGAGAGTGGAGGACGTGTGTGTGTATCTCCTTGATGTTGCTGTTGCTTAGAGGGGCGGGCGGAGTCTCCCTTTTTCGCTCTCCCTCTCGGCAACCACGAGCTTCTCTTTTTATTTCTCTCCTTTCTCCTCTCGCCCGCGCTGGGGACCTCCCTGGACCTCTCCAAGGAGGTCTAGTCCTCCCCCTCCCGTTTTCTCTCTCTCCCTCTTTTTGTGTACGTTTGTCTTGGCCCCCAGGAATAATGGCGGGAAAGGATTAGATATGCGAATTTCGGGGCCTGACGTTGAGATGCATCTACCCTCGCACGGCTGTCTCCTATTTTCATTTCGCTACATTTGCACTGCATACGGTGATTTGGTGAGACATTCTTTTGTTCCTTTTTTTTTTTTTTTTTTTTTTTTTTTTTTCGCACAGTAACCTTGGGTACGTATACTCGATACAGCAGTTTTTGGTTACCTCCTTCGCAGCAATAACTTTGAATTTCTCAATTCAGCTTGTACTCGTACCCTTACTTTATATTTGGAGGTTGTCGATTTTTGATTTTACAGAATTGACAGATGTTCTCATGCAACTACTTGAAATCTGATAAATTTAAGTGGGTCAAAGAAAAAAAAAAAAAAAAAAAAAAAGTGAAAGTCATNTTAATTAGAGGCATCTAATCTCCACGGGCAGGGCGCAGTAAACTCTCGCCGGCCGTTTAATGAAGGAGACGGCCTCCCCGGAGAAAAAGATACACCCATAGGACCGTGCGATTTTCATCTCCGGAGCAAGCGGTCACCTTGGAAGTAAATAAAAAAAAAAAATAATAATAATAATAATAAATATAAAAATGATTATCGCATACTTTCTTCTTCTTTCACTCCGCCCTTCTTTCTCTTTTTCTCCTATTTCACTTTCGCGAAATGCACATGTGTGCGTGCCCTCTCTATTTGTCCATTGGCTGATTTCGTACTCGCCAAGAGACTTTTCGAGCGTTGCATGCACTTAATAAGCTTCAGCGTTTGCGGCGGCGATTGACAAGGTTGAACGATAAAGAGCCTCTACTTCCCGGGGGTTCGTTGTCGAGCGCGTCATTAGTTGATATATTATTCTTAGCGTGGTATACGATTTTGCTTGATTTTTAATAATTTAAAAGAAGTAAATTGCAAAAGGTTTACGATGAAAAATGATTCAACGCGAAATTCCGACGGAGGCTCCTTCGTTACCATGGGTGTATCTAATCGAGATCGCAGATTGTGAATGCATTTCAAAATAACACTCTTCTAATCGCTGACTTTGCATAAACCTTTGGGCTGAATTTTGCATGACGTTAAACCCACGATTGGGATCTCGAGTGTGATATAATAGATTCAGTCGGCGATGATCAATGCGTTCTGAGGCAAAAGAAAGAGTTTTTTCCCCCTATATTTGACAATAGGTGAATCACGAGATGGATCCTTTTATACGAGACGTCAGTCGTACGATTAGTTAATCAAGTCATTTAGTGATGCCTGTGAAAATGACTTTAAAATTTATTTAGCTAATGATAATCTACGGATTATCTGAAACAACTTTAATTTTTTATAAAAACAACTCCATTCATTCCGTGGACCTAAACATCGAAGACGACGTCAACTTTTACAAATTTATTATTTTTATTATAATTAACTTTATCAAATTGAAATTTAAAAAAATTAACATTTCGATAAAAAACTTGTTTCGGGCACAATTATAAAAACACAAAAAACATTTAATTAAAGAAAACAAATTTTTTAAATTTTAGCTTTACTTGTATACTCCTAAAAAAAATGAAAAAAAAAGGCTTCACGAACTTTCACAACAGATAAGTGAGGCATCATATCGCGTGATAAATTTGTCAAACCCACGCCGAGAGCATTCCCGAAACCTCCAAAGTGAGCGTCTCCCTGGAACTTCCCGAAATGAGATAATCATCAGAGCCATCCAGACGATAACAGGCACGATTGCACACCCCCAAAACCCTCCTCCTCCTCCATCCGAGCCGTGTCGTCTCCCCCGTGGGCATTAATCACCAAGAGCAAACGGATGGACCGTCCCATTTGATTTCCCGCGGGTGCGTATGAAAAAATATCCTCTTTTAACCAGTGACTCGGCATATCTTGCCCACCACGTCGTCACCCACTGAGTGTATACGTGTTACATTTTTATTCATTCGTACACACGACAATCAGGGCGTGCGAAGTTTATTGTCGCTCTTTTTCATGCGGGCGAGCTCCCACTCGCTCTTCTCCTCTATTTTTTTTTCCAAAGGGTGCATTCACGCGCTATATGGGAACTCGTGCAATTGCCTCAGTGTTTCGCACGCTCTTACGCGTGAGCAAGGTGTGGAGTCGTGGCACCGGGATAGGGGTGAAAGGGGGTTCATACGTACTGGGGTTAGCATGGGGTTCTTTTGATTTTACCTACGGGAATTCGTTGTTGATGGTATGTGTATATGTACATGTATTAAGCGGTCTCTTGTAGTACTGCTCGTTGACAAAGGGAGTCAAGTATCGACCTGTCCTTCCAACTTGATTTTGTTACTTTTTTTTTTTTTTTTTTCAGATTTAGTTTTTGTTTTTCTGCGCTGAATTTCATAGAATGTATTATTGAAGAGGAAGGTATCACTCATAATGATGAGCCAAATTTTGCAACAAAGAATTCAGTAATTAAAATATACCTCTTTTGAGTGGTTGAATATTCGATTATAATATAAATATCGTTTTAGGAGACGTTTTCGTAGCAATATCGTATCAGTTATAATGTAATAAAATTTAATACATTATAATATGATATGACAACATAATGTAGTACTAAGCAAATGGAAGTATTCATGCAAAAAAATTTGAGACGCGTATCTTTGTGAATCACACTTTGTGGCATTGTGCAAAAAGACAGTTGACAGACAGAAAAAGATGAAAATATTAATTTAATTTTACTTGATTCTCCATTCGTTGAACCTACAACAGCCCAGTCGAAAAAGTATAATTGATTTCTGCATAATTAATGTAGAAAATCACAGTATAATACTCGTATAGTTGTTCAAAAATTTTTTTTTAACAACAGTAATTATTCCGTAAACATTAGTACACGAGCCAATAAGTACGTGCAATTAGCTCCCCTCGCGTTCATCCAACTGGAACCTCGACTGTTTGCGCGTATTCCCGGTGCGTGCAAGCATGTGGGCAGCGATGCTCCCTCTCCCCTGTCAACGGATTGAAAGTACACATACGCACACATAAGAGCCGAGTCCAAAAGATAGGGTTCATTGAGAATTGATGAGATTTTCGCTGAGCTTTTCCATTCATGAGTAATCTAATCAGGGTCAAACGACGCGGGTGGTTTGCTTTATCGTATACTCGTGTGCATAGGGGATTGGTAGTTGGACTAGTCGTTGAGAACTGCGGGATCGCACTCACTCATTAGATGAACAGGATTTCAATTTTAACTTTTTTCTGTTTACTTCTGAAATTATTATTATTATTTTTTTTTTTCTTCTAAATAGTAATGAAACAGGTTAATTTTCAAGCAATATTCAATTAATCAAAAAGTGTCATTCGTCGGCATGATTTTAAGGGCAATTTAAATAAAGAACCAAATACTTATCCTTAGGTTCACGAAAATTAAACATTAATTGGAATAATCTGTTCATATTAACTGCTTTAATAATTGCGAATTTCAGAATTTCAGACAAAAATACAAGGTAAATTCCTTCCTGTAGAAGATAAAAGGGGTCTAAGGGTAAGAGAAATGATGAAAAATAATGGAGAATTTCGGAGACGAGCCCACTCTTAAAGGGACGAAGGGAGAGGTATTCACACAACTGGGCGAAGCAAGTACCTCAATCGAGTCATGGACATTTTTCCCAGCAGTCCCAGCACTTTTCCCACCGCTAGATGGCGCTGATAAATAAGAATTTTAATAAACTGCGCATGGGTCTACTAGACTCACAGCGTTTTGCATTTTGTATTTATATATAACCTTATGCATTGTTCATAACTATTTGGTTTCCTTCTTATGTAAAACTTTATTTATTGTATTTAAAAAGGGCGCCTTTATACTCCATTAATTTGATATGTATATATAATATGTACATATATGTAATGGATTTAAGTGTGTAATATAATTTTAACTGTATTTGTGTTATGGCAAAAATGTACTCAAACTGCCAATAAAAAATTTTTTTCAATCAATCAATAAACTGCGCATGGATTTCTTCACATGTTTACCTAATGTTGGTACTGCAGTGTTCACGGAATTATTTCATAAGATATATTACACATTTTGTGACTCGACCAAAAAAAAATTTTTTTTTCAGACTTGTTGCTAATGTTGCCGTGGCACCCTGAACTCTACACCGTACACCTTTGGACAATGCACCCTCATTGTTTTCGTCTTTGAATTTACCACTTTTTCAAATCAATTACTTTTATTTTAAGACTTTTATCTGTGCTGTAAATATAAATCTTTTTTTTGTAACTTGAAACTTATTTCTCATTTTTTTTTCCGACAACAGACACGTGTACCAACTTAATTAAAAATTCATTCCACTACCTATACACCTACTCTACAGAATTAGATACACTATGTAGAGACACTTAAGCAACTTTTCTGTTTATCATTTCACTTCAGTGATAACATGTACGCCAACGTTTATAAATACATACACACATTCAACTATGCTACTAATGATTAACTATAGGGATTCATGTATTGCCAGTTCCAATTCATCAGTCCCATACACTGCATTGACGAACGCCTTTTCTGGATAGATTTTTTTTTTTGCTGTTTCTCTGATAACATTCAGGTGAGTTTATTTTAGTTTTACTGTAAATTTGTAGTGCTTTGCATGATTATTTTTATAATTTTTCCAATCACTTTGGAATGTGAAAATTTGTCCTCAATAGATAATAGAATTAAGCACCCGCACCTGAAATAATTTCGCATTCCATATCCAATGACAAAAGTTTCTTGATATACCTATGAATATATTGTTTAATCCAATGATAAAAAAGGAATCAAGCTATTGCTAGTTTTGTCTTGTATTTATTAACTAAATAAAAACTTGAGTAGTAACAATTATACTTAACCGATTTTGACTAATTACTTAGTCCGTTTGCCTCGAGAAAGTTGTGGAAGAAATCGCTTGTGGAGTAGAACCACGTAGTCGTCTACAATAAGTCGTAAAACTGATCCACCAATAATGGCCGATTTAACTGATTTCATTCCGTCAGACAACAAAATGGCGTTGGCACGGAGCACGGAGCAAATAGATTGGGTGCGTCTTGAGTACTCAAGTAACCTTGTGGCACAATATTAAGTGTGATGATTTTTCTACAATTAGTGAGAATTTTGTGATAAAAAACAATTTTTTTTCGAACACCTCAACCAGCATATTTTCTGAATAGTAGGTTTTGCAAATCCCTTTGAAATATGATGAGGCCCAAAAAATTTTTCTTTCAACTTCATATCGTATCCATATGAGATAGTTTTTTGTTATCTGAGGTGCTTAACGAACTCAGATACTAACGACACGTTGTTCTAATCACGCACGAACGTTAGACGAACAATAGAAAACAGCCTTTACTTTAAAGTTATGCTGATTGAGGTTATTTAGGAAGTTTTAAAAAGAATGAAATCGAGTAGTGGAGTCGATGTAATTATTATTATTATTATTATTATTTTATTTAACTACTATATAGTATCTCAAATTTAACTTATCAAGAAATAAACAGAGTATAAAAATTTTTTTTAATTAATTTTTAATATAAATTAGATAAGATACCAGACCGAGTATACTGAAATATATGTATCTTTGTTTTTAACTATTTCGAAAGTAAAATAATCAGGAATGTCAAATAAAATGGTAGTAAAAGTATAATAGTACAAAAAATGTGTTTACTCTAAATAAAATAAAATAGTAATAACAATACAAATTTTTTCATTTTTTGTTTTGCTA